GTTCCCCAGCCACAGTGAACAGTCCTCAGTGCAGTCCCTGGCTAATAGGGTGATTTTTGGGTTAATTATTAGGTCCTACCACCACTCAGGAATCTCCAAGCCGTGTCGTCTGTGCCATCAGGGTCACTCAGTCCGCTGCCAGACTGCAGCTCTGTGTGTCTCCTTTTTTGGTATTTTCACGCAAATTCTTCTGCTAGTTGGGGTTTAGTCCACTTTTGGATCCTTCCCTTCAAGGTTCAGGGGTCCAAGATTACCTTCTGTGTCTGTGTTAATTGGTTTCCCTTTTCTTTGTTGAAGAGCATCTGTGCAGTCTTTCTGCCTAGTCTGCCATCTTGCCGGAATTTCCCTTCCATCTTCTTTTGATGCTTCCTGTATCACTCAATATTTTGCCCATAGAATCCTTCAATAATGCAACTTGAGGCTTGAATTTTTTCTTCAGTTTTTTCAGCTTGAGAAATGCTGAGTGTATTCTCTTTTGGTTTTCCAATTCCAGGTCTTTGCATATTTCATTATAATACTTTACTTTGTCTTCTGGACCTGCCCTTTGAAATCTTCTGTTCAGGTTTTTTTTTTTTTTTAAATTTCAGCATTTCTTCCATATGCTTTAGCTACTCTCCGTTCAAGGGTAAGTTCCAGAGTCTCTTCTGACATCCATTTTGATCTTTTCTTCCCTTCCTGTCTTTTTAATGACTGTTTGCTTTCTTCATATATGATGCTCTTGATGTCATCTCCCAGCTCATCTGGTTTTTGGTCATTGGTGTTCAATATGTCAAATCTATTCTTCAGAAGGTCTCTAAATTCAGATATGATAAAATCAAAGCCATATATTGGCTCTCATGGATTTGTTTTAATTATCTTCAGCTTCATCTTGAACTTGCATATGAGCAATTGCTGATATGTTCCACAGTCAGTTCCTGGTCTTGTTTTGATTGAAGATATTGAACTCCTCTGTCACCTCTTTCCACAGAGGTAGGTGATCTGATTTCTGTGTATTCCATCTGGTGAGGTCCACATGTATAGCCACTGTTTATGTTGTTGAAAAAAGGTATTTGCAATGAATAAGTTGGTGGTCTTGCAAAATTTTATCAAGTAATCTTCAGCATGATTTCTATCACCAAGACCATATTTTCCAACTACTGATGGTTCTTTTTTGTTTCAAACTTTTGCATTCCAATCACCAGTAATAATCAATACATCTTCATTGCATGTTTGGTCAATTTCAGACTGCAGAAGTTGGTAAATTCTTCAATTTCTTCATCTTTGACTTTAGTGGTTGGTGTGTAAATTTGAATATTAGCAGTATTAACTGTCCTCCTTGTAGGCATATAGACATTATCTTATCATTGACAGCATTGCACTTAAGAATAGACCTTGATACATTCTTTGTGATGATAAATGCCACACCATTCCTCTTCAATTTGTCATTCCTGGCATAGTAGATCATATGATCATCTGATTCAAAATGATGAAAACCAGTTCATGTCAGCTCACCAATGCCTAGAATATCAATCTTTATGCATTCCACTTCATTTTGTCAACTTCCAATTTTCCTAGATTCATACTTCACACATTTCACATCCTCATTATTAACAGATGTTTACACCTATTTCTTCCTGTTTTGTGTCATGCCCCATCAGCAAATGGTGGTCCCGAAAGCTTTACTTCATTCATGTCATTAAGGTACACTCTATTTTGAGGAAGCAGCTCTTAGGTAGTGGTATTTTGAATGTCTTTGATGGCAGTAGGTCTGGTTATTTTTTGGTTGGTTCCAACTTGAGGGGCTCACCTTCCATCAATATATCAGAAAATGTTTCATGGTTTTTCACAAATTTTTCCAGTAATGTATCAGGTAGTGTTTCACTGTTCTTCATAAGATTTTCACTGGACAAATTTTTCACAAATGGATGGCCTCATCCTTCTTCCCAGTTACCTTAGTCTGTAAGCTCTGCTGAAACCTGTCCACCATTGATGACTCAGCTGGTATTTGAAATACCAGTAGGCATAGCCTACAGCCTCATGGCAACACACAAGTCACCACAGCATGACAGATGAGTGGTGGACAAAATAGGTATTGAACACATATTAATGCTTGATTAACATTTTCTATATTCTTGGTCAAGACCAAGCTAAGACCCATGTTCTCATGGAGTTCACCTTTTAGTACATGATACAGTTGCATTCTGGTACTGGGAGAGGGAGGTTTGGTGGGCAAAACTCATCCAAATAGGAAGTTTTCAGCCCTTGCTGCACATCATAACTAACTGGGAAGTTTTTTCAAAGGAGTGTATACCTGAATTCCAGCCCTGGTGACTGTGGTCTGTAGAAGGGGATGGGGCTTAGAAATATATATATTTATAAGGATCCCCAAGGGATTTGCTCAAACGACCAGCATTAAGAACAACAGGTTTTTATCAGTGCTAAAATTTTATGATACTAAGAAACTCTTTCATACAATACTTAATTTACCAAGTCAAGGAATGATGCAATGAAAAATATGAACTATTTTCTGTTGTTGGGGCTTTCAACTGATGATGTACACTGTCACACTGATAATATACATAATATATACATAAACTGATAATATACATAAACTATAATAGTTATGATGCACATTGCTCCAATATGAATTTAGGTACAACTAACTAATCATTATGGCTCACTACTAATAACTTGTTTCTTTTATTTTTAACAAGTACATACACACATTGTAGACATTATAGCAGATGTATATGTTGGGAAACAATTTTATTTGTTTCATTTTCCTATAATGATTACATATAAAATTAATAGAAAAACTGCATTACATTTTTATAATTGTTGCATGATAAAGATAAAGATTCAAGAACATTTTCAATTGCTTCATGATGCTTATTTATGACTTGTTTTAAGAGCTTGTTTTATATTCAATGTAATGCGTACATTTAATTTCATTCCCCATTCTCTATGTCCAACCCTAACCCAGTCTCCTCCCTCCCTACCCTGTAACCCTCCTCCTGTGCCCCTCATATTTATGCACTCCTGTTTGTCCTGCATTTCCTCAATTTGAATGTTGGTCCTTTGGTGTCCCATGGTCTATTGCTCTAAGGGATGCATTCCCGTAGAGTATATGGGTGCATCATCCTGGATTGAGTGGTCTGCATGTACATCTTGTTAACTATTGGGCTGAGAGCCTGCCCCTGGGGGTGAGTTTTATCCCAGGTGCAGAACGTATTCCAGGATTATTTATGACTTTTTAAAAAAGAGATATCCCAAATTATGTTATACCTTAATGCATTATATAGTAGCACAAGTATTTATATGGCTACAATTATTATCCATCTTTCTGTACCCAGACACTACTAATTTATACATATAAATTCTTGCATATAATCTTTTAGTCATCCTATTTTCCCATTTTCGGAAGGAAGGTTGGGCAATCCTACTTCTGTAGTGATACTGCCTCGGAAACCCAAGGAGGGGTCGCTATGAGTCGGGGCCGACTCGACGGCACATAACAACAACAACAACAACAACATTTTCCCATTTAAAGTTATTTTTTAATTAATGATTTACTTTTAATAAAGAACAAGAGAAATTTATGTTCTGTGATTAAGTTAAGTGATTTTCATCTTTATGCAGAAGTCACAGAGTAAATAATTGTGGCCTTTTTAAAAGAACAACACTGTCCATTCTAGTTTAAGCTCAGGTATAATGATTATTGATTATATACACTGCTATTTAGAGCACTTCCTTCACCTGCATGGAAGTGGGGAGGAAGCAACCTCCTAAGTTCTATTCTTAATTCATGCCTGTGTTAGGCATTAGGTTGGAATAGAGGACACATAGGAAATACAGAAAAGGCTGGGGCAAAAATGTCCATCAAACACCAATGAGCTGCCACTCATGCTCGAATTTAGCTTACTGTAATACATAAGAGATTGGTACTATTTATATATCTCTGATCTTCTAAATTTACAAAAACATTAAGTAGTTATGTGGTCCATTCCTCTCCCTTTACTATCCCAGCCACATGATATAACAACATGACCACCCAAAACTGTGAAAGAAAATTTCATAGCTTCCTTTGCAATCCATTTCAGGACTGCTTGGCCTTTTATTAAAGCTATTATTTATTTATTTATTTTTACTTCTACACTAGTAAGCAATTTTTAATTCTGAAGTTGAAATGCATTTTAAAAATATAGCTCATAATTAGGTGTAAGAAATTATTATTACTAGGACTATTAATATAGTAATAATCAATACAAACAATGATAAACTAATATAACTGAGGAAATAAAAGCAATCTGTCTCCAATTCATAAGCAATTCTTGTCAACCTAGGATCACTGTTGTTGTTGTTGTTGTTATGTGTCGTTGAGTCGGCCCCGACTCATAGCGACCCCTCCTTGGGTTTCTGAGGCAGTATCACTACGAAGTAGGATTGCCCAACCTTCCTTCCGAGGAGTGGCTGGTGGGTTTGAACCGCCAGCCTTCTGGTTCGCAGTCAAGTGCTTTATCCACTATGCTCCCAGAGCTCCTTGGGATCACTAGTGATAGCAAAATTAGAATCCACTTTGGCTCAAGTGATAAGAGAGTTGCTGATTGTTAACAAAGTGCACAAGCTTTATTTCCTATATGGTGGTCTGATTCTTAAACTAATAATTAAGACTAACATGCATATTTTCTTTATGCTTCACTATAACCACATGGACAATATAAGAACAAGAAATATATCTTTTTTTTTTCTCTGATTCTTGGTGCTTAGCACAGTGCTGAGGGACAGAGCAGGTATCCAAGAACTTTCCTATTGAATCAAAGTTACCAAATGAGATGGTCAGAGAAGATGCTATTATTTATATAGAGTAGATGAGAAATTTGTATTTGAGAAAAGTTTACTAGTATGAGGGCTCACAACTAATAAATAACGGAGCAGCAAGTAGGACCAGATCTACTGACATTGTCCATTATACAAGTCTGGCTGCATAGTAAGGTGCATTGATATTACAATAGTTCAGTTACCTTTTTAACTCCAATTGTGTGAGATCCAGTAAGGCTGAGCCCATAAAGTCATCCTGAAGTCCAAAATCATAGTCAAAGACCTAAGCAAGCAAAGAGACAAGAGATTGTTTAAGTAATTTCAATATAAGCTTTAAATGAAAAAATCTTGATTAAGAAATATTAGTTATCTATGTCTCCAAAACAGTGAAACTTTTTAATATTTAGTGGTTTTTTTTGAAATTTCTTTGATTTTATGCTTTAAGAGGAGTATTAAAAACAATTTAAAGGAAATTAAAGTTTAGTTTGTTTAGTCAAAATATTGATTTATATTATACAGTAGTTAAAGAAGATGTAATGAAATCAAAATAAAATGTAGCAAATCTTCAAAAGTGTGGGAAATACAAGCTTAGAGTAAGTTTTCCCCATAGTATAGAAGGGGTACTAGTATTAGGAAGGCAAATTGAGTTGGTACAAAATTCAACAAATAAGTATTCCACACTGAGCTACTGTGAGGATAAAATGAGAATATGATTCTAATTTTCCCATATTTTTAAGGTAATTGAAGGTAAATTCTCTTATATTATAGGACAATGATATTTTAAACATGCAAATAAGTCAAAATTGAGATGTAATGATTAAAGTAATTTGTAAGGTTATATTAAGATTAAATTAAATCAAGTTTTTATTGTTATAGCAATTACTATGGGATAATACTAATGTGACTAACAACAACAAAACAAAGGAACAGAAAAGAACAGAGAAAATGTATTTCTTCCTAAAGTCAACATTATTGATTCAGTGTCTTCTATATGCCCTGCCTGTTTCTGGGCTTTTGAGATACTACAGTGAATAAGAGCATATCCCTCAGCTCTTTCAACCTACATTTTGTGACTAAGAGTATCAATAAGTAAACAGATAGATACAGTTCATTGATGAATGAGATGGAAACAAAAGTCTAAGAGTTGTGATGAGAGGTGCTATTTTAGGTAGGGAGTTCAGGAAGGTTGCTGTGAGGAAGTACATTTGTGTAGAGACCTGAATCATGAGAAAAAGAGGTAGCTTGGAAGATGGATAAAAAGGGTGGTGATCTACTTCTGGATGATCAACCATTGAAAACCCTGAAAACCCTATTGATCCAAGCTCTATTCTGACCCACACGGGGTCTCCAAGAGTTGGAATTGACTCCACAGCAACTGGTAGTGGTGGCGGTAGTATGAGTGAGAGTACTCCAGATTGAGGAAATAGCAAGCATGAGACAGGGATGTTCAAGGTTAAGCAAGAAGTTTAACATGGTTGAAGCAGAGTGAGTAAGATGGAGAATGAAAAGAAATAAGGCTGCTTCATCAAAGAGGATACTCAGGTGGCCAGCAAATGCATGAGGAAATGCTTATAGTCACTAGCCATCAGAGAGAAACAAATCAAAACAACAATGAGATACCATCTTACCCCAGCACTAATGGCAAAGTTCAACAAGACAGAAAACAACAAATGCTGGCAAAGATGTGAAGAGATTGAGACTCTCATACACTGCTGGTGGGACTGTAAAATGATACAACCATGGTGGAAAGCAGTATGGTGATTCCTTCAAAAGCTGGAATTAGAAATACCATTTGACCCAGCAATTCCATTATTAGGTATATATCCTAAAGACGTGGGAGCCAGGATGAGAACAGATATATGCACACCCATGTTCATCACAGCACTATTTACAATAGCCAAAAGATGGAAACAACATAGGTGCCCATCAATAGCAGAATGGATAACCAAACTATGGTACATACACACATTGGAATACTATGCAACACTAAAGAATAATGCAGAATCTGCAAAACACCACATAACATGGATGAACTTGTTGTTGTTGTTAGATGCTGTTGAGTCATTTCTGACTCATAGTGACCCCATGCACAGCAGAAGGAAACATCGCCCAATCCTGTGCTAGCTCCATGATCTTTGCTATACTTGAGCCCATTGTCTCAGCCACCGTGCCAATCCATCTCGTTGAAGGCTTTCCACTCTTTTGTTGACTCTCCACCCTACCAAGCATGATATCCTTCTCCAGGAAATGGTCTCTTCTGACAACATGACCAAAGTAGGTGAGACAAAGTCTGGCCATTCTCGCTTCCAGGGAGCATTTCGGGTGCACTTCCTCCAGGACAGATCTGTTAGTTCTTTTAGCAGTCCATGGTACTTTCAGCATTCTTTGCCAGCATCAC